TTCCCAGCAACCACATGGTGGCTCACAACCATCTGTAATGAGACCTGGCTCCCTCTTCTGGCCTGCAGGGATACATGCAGGCAGAATACTGTATACATAATAAATAAATAAATCTTAAAAAAAAAAAAAAAGAAAAGAAATACAGGTTAGTCATTAGTCATCTATAGTGGTCAAACTTGTAGTTATGTTAGGTATATTTTCAAGGTTAAACAGAGATATATTTTAGATAGATACGTGGTTTTCTTTTCTTTTTTTTTTTTAAATATTTATTTATTATGTATACAGTGTTCTGTCTGCATGTGTCCCTGCAGGCCAGAAGAGGGCACCAGATATCATTACAGATGGTTGTGAGCCACCATGTGGTTGCTGGGAATTGAACTCAGGACCTTTGGAAGAACAGTCTGTGCTCTTAACCACTGAGCCATCTCTCGAGCCCCGATATGTGGTTTTCAAACACTTTAGAGACCTACAGAATATAACATTTAAGGTGTTTTAATATCATAAGGCTTTTTATGACATGAGACATGTCTGTTCCTGGCAGCACCAATTTACTTCAAAAAAGGATGATGGGCATCAAAGAATCTCCATATGGAGTTTGCTTTCAATGTGGCAAACTAGCTATTTGGACATGAAACTGCCCTTTTCTCAACTGCTGGAAGTATGCTGTCCAAATTGAAAAGCAGGACGCAAAAAGAAGCAACTGCTGAACTTTGCCAAGACAAGGTAGAACAGTCCTTCCAAATTCCTGCTTCACATAAAAGTATCTCAGATATTCTAGACCTGTAGGCCAAAGATGGATGTTCCAACGTTGCAGAGGAACCTTGGGGTGACTGTTCAGTCAGGCAGATGTCTGTGTCATTTCTTAGTTTTGGAAGTTGATTGTTTCCTGTTTAGTGAGATAATATTATATCCAATATCTTGGGTCTTTGATGGGACTAAATACTTGATAGTTATAGTTACAGTTTTCCTTGTTACCAGATTCAGAAAAGAAACTCACAAAAGAGATATAAAGTATATAAGGTTGAGAGACATAAAAGCTTAAATTGTTTATCTAAAAACATGTTTTGAAGTCTAAAAAGATAGTTTTTGATTGTTTATACAAGTTAGGATAGAAAGTAAATCAGGTATAAAACTTTGGACTCACCAAGATAGGATAGATAATGGAGTATTTGACAATACTAATGGACATTGTGAATGTAATTCTTACCTGATAATTGTTCTTATTGTATATAGTTTTATTATGTTAGAGTTAAAAATATTTCCTTTTTATTTAGACAAAAAGGGGGAAATGTTGTGGGATATTTTTACACTGTGTGAAGATATATTGCTGTGATTGGTTTAATAAAGTGCTGAATGGCCAATAGCTAGGCAGGAGGTATAGGCAGGACTTCCAGGTAGAAAGAGAAAGAGGAGGAGGAATCTAGGCACTTAGGAGAAGTGAGACATACAGAGGAAGCAGGATGAGCAGTATAATAAGGTAAAAAGCTATGAGGCAAAATGTATATTAATATAAATGGGTTAATTTAAGTTATAAGAGCTAGTGGGACAAGCCTAAGTAAGTTAAGGCTGAGCTTTCATAATTAATAATAAGTCTCTGTGTTGTTATTTGGGAGCTGACTGGTGGGACAGAGAAAGACCCATTACACTTAGCAGTTAAGAGTACTTGTTGCCCTTGCAGAGGACCCAGGTTCTCACAACCATTACTAACTCCAATTCCAGGGGATCTAATGCTGTTTTTGAACTCTGAAGGAACCAGGCATATACATGGTGCACATGCAGGCAAACACATTCGTACATATAAAGTAAAAAATAAATCTAAAATAAAATAATAAGTCAGGTAGCGGCAGTACACACCTTTAATCCCAGTACTCAGGAAGCAGAGGCAGGCAGATCTCTGTGAGTTCAAGGCCATCCTGGTCCACAGAGTGAGTTCCAGGACAGTCTCCAAAGCTACACAGAGAAACCCTGTCTCAAAAAATCAAAATAATAATAATAATAATAACAATAATAACAACAACACTAATAAACTAATAAAAGACATCTTAAGCAGGCAGATTTCTAAGTTGGAGGCTAACTTGGTTTAACTTAGAAAGTTTCAGGACAGCTAAGGCTACATAGTGAAATCCTATCAGAAAGAGAGAAAGAAATCTTCAACAAATATTACACAAATCAGAGTATTGTAGGAGTACACCACAGATCTACTTTCTGAGTCATTGTTTCACTTATTTATTTATTTATTTAGTTATTCAAGACAGAATTTCTCTGTGTAGCCCTGGTTGTCCTGGAACTCGTTCTGAGGATCAGGCTGGCCTTGAACTCATAGAGCTCTGCCTGCCTCTGCCTCCAGAGTACTGGGATTAAAGGTGTGCACCACCACCCGGCTTGTTTCATTTAAGATGTCAATTTCATTTAAGATGACAAATGTCTTGATGGATTGTGCAGATGAAGTAAAGTATACTTGTGGAATGGCAAATTGGCCATTGGTACATCAAATAAGCATTGATTTCCATACTCCAGTGACATTTTCAAGCCCCCCACCACAACCACTTTCTCTATTTCTTAAGTCAAAATTCTAGAGCTGACTTTAGTACCCCTCAAATTGAAGGGTCCAGAGACAGGGGAGGAAAAATATCCTGTATGATCTCACCTGATTTTCCAAACAGATCTTCCCCAGTAAACTCCAACTCCTGTCGTTTACCAGTGGCCGGCAGGGTGTTCTGAGCTCTAGTCTACTGGCTAACTACCTACTACCCCTACTGGCTAACCTGCAATCTAAATTCTCCTTCATCCCTGATGTGGCTTCAGGGAACTCAGCTTTTTCTGCATGCCTCTTGATCCCTTGGCCTTCTCAGCCTGCCTGAGAAGTAGACAGTCTCTTCATTCCTTTTCTTTATCCATCTTGCTAAAGACAAATTCCTTGTCCTATTTTGTGGGCTTTGATAGCAAGGACGGGACACAGCAGAGGGAGGTAACAAGGGAAGTGACAAACAAAGCTCCGGGCACAGTTTTTGACTCTCTTGAGGAACGCAGTAGATGGAGGGAGTGGGTACAATGATCATGCCCGGTTCTCCAGAGACTCCTTCCTTCCAGGCAGCTAGAACAATAGTCACCCTGTTTTTCTAACAGAACACCTTTGCATTTTCCAGATGGGTGGTACCCGGGTCACCTAGCATAATCCCTTTTTGAGAAATTCCTCTTCTTCAGGAACAATTCAACTGTATAGATGCCTAAATAATTCAGTATTTCCTGTCTTCTCCTCCTCCTTCCTTTCTCCCTCCCTCCCTCCCTCCCTCCCTCTCTCTCTCTCTGTTTTTCTGCAGAGACCCACCTTCTGTAGCCTGAGTGTTGGGGTCAAATGTGAGTGCCACCATGCCCTGTCTCCTCCAATTTTTGTCTTTGTCATTTACTTTCTATGCGTCCCTGAAAAGGTTACAATTTTAGCATAACTTAGATATGTGTCACACCTTTTTAAATCTATGTAAGAACTCCCCGAGGCAGGCACTATCTCCCTTCATTTTATAGATTAAAAATACAGCTTCCATGTAGGAAAATAGGACTTAGCAGAGTCTTAATTTAAACCTTTATAAGATGAATCAGAATTATGTGACATCATCAGATTACTCTGGATGTTAATTCTGCCCCATGCTCAACAGGGGCAGTAACTTATGTTTATTTTACCTAGTGCTGTATTCTCATTGTCTGGCTCAGTGACTACTTGTTGTAGGGATAATTGGATGCAGTGTGTTTAACATAATGTCTAGCCTACAATAGTGCCTACCAGCTGGGCATGATGGCACATACAAGGAAGTGTTTAGGAAGTGAAGCCAGGGAGACCGATTCAAGGTCATTCTTGGCTATATAACAAATCAAGGCTGGTCTTGGCTAAAAAAACAAAACAAAACAAAAAAACCAACCAACCAACCAACCAAACAAACAAACAAAAACTCCACCACAATTTAATCTTTAAAAAATTTTAAAAAGTGCTTTCCAAAGTCACAGTCATTAATTAATCATGATCAATCTTGATGCCTTACCCAATCACCCAATACATCACAAATCTAGATCCTTTCTATTACTCCAGTGTTGCTCAATCATACCTATTCCTCAGGTTCTGCTCAAGTTCACCCATCTAATAAGAAGGTGAGGCGAGATGACTCAGTGTCCTTACTGCACATGCAGAGGCCTCAGGTTTGGTTCCCAGAACCCACAAGGTGGCTCAAACCACCTGTAACTCCAGCTTCAGGGGTCAGATGCCCTCTTCTGGCCTCCACAGGTCACAGGCACCAGGCACACAGGTAGTGTGTAGACACACATGCAGGTAAAACACTCATACACATAAACAATAATTAAATTCAAGTGACAAGGTGAGCTGGGTTCTCTGTGCACGTCTGCCTGGCTGCCTCCCAGGTCTAGCTTCTATTTCTTCAATCTGTTCTCAACATTATCATTAGGATGATTCGATACTTGTAAATTTAGTCCATTTTGTTGTTTTGTTTCCGAGACTGGATTTCATGTAGCCCAGGACTGGCCTCCTATTCATTCTGTAGCTAAGGATGACCTTGAACTCCTTATCGTCTTGCTTCTACCTCCTGAGTACTGGAATTATTGAGTACATTATAATATCTAACATACGTAGTTGATCTTGGTGTAATTCTTTAATGGTGCTGATGTTCTTTATAAATTCAATATTTACTGAGCGTATTATGCTAGACACTATTCTGATTGCTTTATATACATTAAATCATCTACTTTTTTTAGACCGAACTTTACTCTGTGACCAGGCTGGCCTGGAATTCACTCTGCAGAACATGTTGGTCTTGAACTGATAGCCATTCTGCGCTATCAGCCTTTCAAGTACTGAGATTTCAGGTGGGAGCTACCGTACAGCTTTAGCTCATCTGAGCTCTATGGAACCCTTCCTTTTTCAGAGGAAAAGCTAAGGCCAGAGGAAGGTTTGAAGGCCAGGGAGGCTAAGTGACTTGCTTAGAAGTCACACACCAGTGCTTGCTTCAGCAGCACATAAACAAAAATTTGAATGATACAGAGATTAACATGGCCTATGCATAACGATGACATGCAAATTCGTGAAGCGTTCCATATTAAAATAAAACAAAAACAAAAACTCACACACCAGAGCTCAGATATGAATGTAGGCAGTCTGAAGCAGCCCACTTGCTTCTTGCCCTCCCAAACTGTGCCTCTTCACAGCCTCATTGGCTGCTTCTAGGTGATTACTTTTCTATACTTCCTCACCTACTCTTGTACAATTCCTTCTCAAGACATTACTGAATTATGAATTATCTCTTCTTATACAGAGTAGGAAGTGGTTATTATGAATAGATGCTCAGTAGATGTTGAGTAAATGAATGAAGAGTCACAGTAAGATTCAAGAAATGGGGGCTGGAGAGATAACCCAGTGGTTAAGAGCACTGGCTGCTCTTCCATAGGTCCTGAGTTCAATTGCCAACAACCATATGGTGGCTCACAACCATCTATAATGAGATCTGGTGCCCTCTTCTGGAGTGCAGGTATACATACAGGCAAAACATTACATACATAATAATTAAATAAATCTTAAAAAAAAAAAAAAAGATTCTGAGGCCAGCTTGGTCTACAGAGCAAGTTCCAGCCAGGGCTACACAGAGAAACCCTGTCTCGCAAAACAAAGAACAAGCAAACAAACAAAAAGAAGTGGGGTTGGGTGGCTGGAGAGATGGCTCAGTAATTAAGAGCTATTGCTCTGCTCTCCCAGAGGACCTGGGTTCAGTTCCCAAATGGCATCTCACAACCATCTGCAACTCCAGGTCAGGAAATCTGATGCCCTCTTCTGGTTTCTATGGGCAGGACCAGGTATGAACTCAGTGCACACACATTCAGGCAAGCAGAACACACACACACACACACACACACACACACACACACACACACACATCTTAAAAAAGAATAAAAGAAGTGGAGCTTGGAGGCAGAGGCAGGAGGATATCCATGAGTTTAAGGCCAATCTGGTCTACATAGTGAGTTCAATCCCCAGGACCCACACAGGAGGGGAGAACTGACTCCCAAAAGCTGTTTTCTGACCTTCCAGGTATACCATAGCTCCTATTGGTAAAGGTAAGTACACACACACACACACAATGTATTTTTAAGAAAAAGATTCAGGGGCTGGAGATGGCTTAGTAGTTAAGAACATTTACTGCTCTTTCAGGGGACCAGAGTTCAGTTCTCATCACCCACTCTGGGTGGCTCACAACTTTCTATAATCCAACTTCAGGGGATCTGATTCCCCTTTTGGCCTCTGAAGACAATCACACATGTTTTGGTATATATACAGAAACACATACATACATATATATAGTCAAATCAAAAAATCAAGAAACAATTCTGGAACCAGAGAGGATTCTGTTTGGAGAAGCCTAGCTAAGCAGCCAGGCATGGATCATTTCTCAGTAACAATTGTACTTTCTATTTTGGACACCAGGGAGCGCCACTACTAAAGCATTCCAGAAAAGGATTGCTAAACTTTTCCAAGCAGATCTAGAATGTGTGGTGTGTGTGCGTGTGTGCGTGTGTGCGTGTGTGTGTAGGGTCCTGTGAGTGGAACCCAAATTATTGGGAACATATGCCAAGCGAGTGCTCTACCACTGAACTATATCTATCCAGACCTCTTCTATCTTTGTATTGAGACAGTATCTCATACAGCCCATGCTGGCCTTCTAACTGGCTCTGTAGCTAAGAATGTCTTTGAACCCCTGATCCTCCTTTGTTCACATCTCTTGAGTGTTCATAGTACAGCTGAGTGTCACCACCTGACTGATGTCATTAACATTTTTGAACATATATACAATGGGATTGTATTCACTGTAAAGAAGAAATTATGACATTTGCAGGATAATAGATAGAATGAGATCATCATATTAAGCAAAGCAAACCAGACCCAGAAAGACAAGTATTGTATATTTGCTTTCATATGCAATCTAGATTTAGTTATATACATAGAACATGAAAGTACAAAGGGGTCAGAGAGTGGTGGAGGAAGGAATTGGGAGGACAGGAGAGAAGAATTGAACATATATCACATGAAAGCAGAAGGCATATCATTGGGGAAGGAAGGGACCATCAAGAAGGGAAGAGGCTAGGGAAGGACAGGAGGGGGCTAATAAGAACAACATATGATATTTCTGTAGGAAAATGTATGTTATCTAAAAAAACTTACCAAAAAACAAAAAAAAAGTGTACGACAAAAGTTTAAATCCAGGTTCTCTAGCCTACATCAACGTCTGTTTTTGTAGGACAGCTGCTGGGTAAACACTGCAATCTGGAAACCTTAAAGCATTTCAGGGTAACCTAAATTCAGGATAAAAAATTATAGTAATTAAAAAAATGACACCATACTGGGTGGTGGTGGCCCATGTCTTTAATCCCATCACTTGGGAGGCAGAGGCAGGTGGATCTCTGAGTTCAAGGCCAGCTTGGTCTACAGAGTGAGTTCCAGGACAGTTAGGGCTACACAGAGAAACCCTGTCTTAAAACAAAACAAAAACAAAACAAAACAAAAACAAACAAACAACAAAAAAAACACAATATCTTTCATTTCTCCTTCCCTTTTTAATATTGTTTCTCTGTGTAGTCCTGGATATCTTAGCACTCACTCTGTAGACCAGGCTAGCTTTGAACTGCCTGCTTCTGCCTCCCAAGTGCTGGGATTAAAGACATGTGCCATCACTGCCCAGCTAATATATATATTTGTTTTATAGGCATTGGTGATTTTGTTTTCATGTCTGCCTGTGTGAGGATGTCAGATCCCTTGGAACTGGACAGTTATGAGGTGCCATGTGGGTACTGGGAATCGAACCCTGATCCTCTGGAAGAGCAGTCAGTGCTCTTAACCACTAAGCCATCTCTTCAGTCCCCTGGCTAAAATCTTAATATTTAATATTATTTTGAGGTGGGGGCCTCATTATGTTTCCCAGGCTGGTCTCAAAATCCTGGGCTCCAGTCTTCCTGCCTTAGCTTTCTCTGTAGCCATGACCATGGGTACATACTGTAGCACATGGCTTTGTGGTGCTGGAAGTTGTGCCTGCTCGGCAAGTGCTCTGCCACTGACCTCCATCCTCAATCTTTTGAACACTTTTAAGTGTACAGGCCAGCCATGTTGAGCATTATACGTTCACACAGTGGCAAGTGGCACAACTAATTGCCACAACTCTGCCTCTTGCAAAACTTAAACGTGCCATTAAACAGCCCACAGCCCTCCTTCCGCTAGCTTTAGCAACTCCTGTTTTCTATTCTGTCTCTGTGAATTTGACTCCTTTAGGAAACTATTATATAAATGGACCCATGTTTTTTTTTTCTTTCACAATTGGTTTTACTAACATATTGTTCCAAAGATCTACCTATATAGTCTCATGTGCTATAATTTCGTTTCTTTATTTGTGTGTGTGTGTGCACATGTGTGTGCATATGTGTGTGCATGTTATGGTATGCATGTGGAGATCAGAGACTAACTTGTGTAAGTCGGTTCGCACCTTCCACCATGTGGGTTCTGGGGATTGAACTCAGGTAGTCAGGTCTGGCAGCAAGCAGCAAGCACCTTTATTTGCCAGCTCTCGAATTCCTTTTTTGTTTTTTTAAAGACTCACAATAATACTGTATTTTGTTTATTCCCTCACCTATCCATGTATACTTGTGTTATTTCCACTTTGTAGTTGTTTTAAATAACATGACTGTAAACATGGGCATATAAATATTTCTTCCAGACCTAGCTTTTATTTTGAATATAAACCCAGAGGTAGAATTACTAGATTATTTGGTAGTTCAGTTACTATTAAAAAAAATCATTTGATATATGTATTTGAAGTTTTTTTTTTTTAACTTTTTTTTGTAGTTTAGGCTGGCCTCAAACTCACTAAACAGTTAAGGATGACTTTGAATTTCCTAATCTCTCTGCCCCCAGCTCCTGAGAGCTGGGATTATAGCTGCATACCACGTTTAGTTTTATGTAGTGTTGAGGTTTGAACCCACAGCTTCACGGATGCTAAGCAAGCACTCTATCAACTGAGCTATGCCCCCAGTCTCTAGTTTTAGTTTTGAGATGACATTTTAGCCTCATAGGAAATGTAAGTAGTTCTGAAAAATTCATCTTCTTAAGTGTGAATTGTTAAGTGACTGACCTTGAATTCTTGCCATTAAGACCAAGGCTTTTATTTTTATTATTAGGAATTGAACTCATGGCCTTACACATACTAGATGGGTGTTCCACCAATGAGCTGTATTCCTCTCATTTTACTGTTTTTAAAAATAATTTTTCTTTACTTGTGTGTGTGAGTGACTGTATACCACACATATGCAGGTATTTGAAGATGCCAGAAGAGGGCTTTAGATCCCCTGAACCTGGAGTTTCAGGTGGTTGTGAACTGCCTGACAGAGGTGCTGAAATAAACTCCAGTATTCTGCAAGTGGCGAGCACCTCCACACATCTCTTTAGCTCTTTACTCTTTATTTTGAGACATGGGCTAAGTTGTCAAGGCTGGCTTTGAACTCTTTTTGTAGTCAGGACAGGCCTTAAATAACTAATCCCACTTCCTGAGCCTCCTGAGTAGCTGGGATTACAGGCTTGTTCCACCAGGCCCCGAGACACCAAAGCTTTCTCTGTCAAGCTGGTCATGCACTTATGCTCCCACAGAAATCGTGGGGTGGTGAAGAGAAATGATCCAGTTACTTTTGAAAAGAACTTTGTCAAACATGCATTACTTTGCTGTTTCAGGCTTGTCTTCTTAACCAAACAGGCAGATCTGATCAACAAGCCTGGGGAGGGGGCGGTTAATATAGGCTATAGGTGTATCCTATGCAGTCTATATAAGTTTACTGATTTTTGTGATGCTGAGGATCAAATTCAAGTCTTCACACAAGCAAAGCATGTGCTGTACCACTGAATTACATATTTTATCTCCTGCCTGTATGTGTGCATGTGTGTGTGTGTGTGTGTGTGTGTGTGTGTGTGTGTGTGTGTGTGTCTGTGTTCGTAGACCAGAAATCAGTCTTGGGTGTCATTCTTCAGGAGTCATCCACTGTGGGGTTGGTTTGTTTGTTTTGGTCCCTCTGTGT